TTTGTTGAAGACATGGGAACAGTTGGGGGCATTAGAATGGCTCCCCAATATGAAGAAGAATTTCTAAAAGACAAATACACCACAAAACCAGTAGCTCCCACAACACATATTTCAAGATCCTGCATGGGCCTATCGCATCTTGTGGTGTACCTTTTCCAGTATACTAAATATCCCAACAACTACTATGTGAGTGAAACCAGACAATTATTATTTTTTCATATTAAGTCACAAAAAATGATAAAAGATAAACACCAAATCACTCATGGGCAAACACTCTGATAAAACATCATTTCCTATCTGACCTCTCAGTCTTTGTCTTAAGGGTAATCTGGAGAACACTTTCAACAGACAAACAAATTCATAGCTTTGATAGACACAAAATATCAGTTGAACTAAAGACACTGGATTCATGGCTTCTTACAACAATATGTAACTCACTAACATCTTTTTTGTCCCGTATGATTGAAGAGGTGTTAATAGGCCACTTTACTTTGAATGACCTCTTAGACTAGACAAGGTGGGTGTGGTAATGTCTTGTATTGGCCCAACTTAGCAAAATACACACCCTGGACTTCAGAAAAGCAGACTTTGACTCCCTCAGAGAACTGATGGGCAGGATTCCCTGTGATGCTTACATGAAGGGGAAAGGAGTCCAGGAGAGCTGGCAGTATTTTAAAGAAGCTTTATTAAAGACACAGGAAGAAATCATTCAAATTCACAGCAAGAAAAGCAAAATTGGCTTAACAGTGAAATCTCTGACGAGCTTAAACACAAAAAGGAAGCTGACAAGTAGAAACCTGGACCAATGACCAGGGAGGAGTGTAAATACATTGCTCGAGCATGCAGGGCTGGAATCAGGGAGGCCAAAGCACAACTGGAATTCCAGCTAAGCACGGGGTGTGAAGGGTAACGAGAGGTTTCTACAGGCATATTAGCAAAAAGAGGGTGATCAGAGACATTAGTGATAGATGATGTGGGAAAAGCTGAAGTACTCAATGCTTTTTTTGCCTCTGTCTTCACAGACAAGGTCAGCTCCCAGGCTGATGCACAAGGCAATGCAGTATGGGAAGGAGGTGGGCAGCCCTTGGTGGGGAAAGAACGGGTTAGGAACTATTTAGAAAAGCTAAACATACACAAATCCATAGGTCTGGATTTAATGCTTCCAAGGGTTTTGAGGGAGTTGGGAAATGTCATTGCAGAGACTTTGGCCATTATCTTTGAAAACTCATGGAGATCGGGAGAGATACCAGATGATTGAAAAAAAGCAAATGTAGTGCCCATCTTTAAAAAAGGGAAGAAGGACAATTCAGGGAACTACAAACCAGTCAGTCTTATCTCAGTCCCTGGAAAAATCATGGAGGGGATCCTCAAGGAATCCATTATGAAGCACTTTGAAGATGGGAAAGTGATCGGGAATAATCAACATGAATTCACAAAGGGCAAGTCATGCCTGACCAATCTGATTAGCTTATATGAAGAGGCAACTGGCTCTGTGGTTATGGGAAAGTCAGTGGATGTGATATACCTTGACTTTAGCAAAGCTTTTGATACTGTCTTCCACAATATTCTTGCCAGCAAGTTAAGGTTAATATGGATTGGATAAATGGACTATAAGATGGATAAAAAGCTGGCTAGACTGTTGGGCCCAACAGATAGTGATCTACAGATGTCAGGTTGGCAGTCAATTTCTAGTGGAGTGCCCCAAGGATCTATTCTTGGACCAGTTTTGTTCAACATCTTTATTAATGACCTGGATGAGGGGATGGATTGCACTCTCAGCAAGTTCGCAGACGACGCTAAGCTAGAGGGAGAGGTAGATATGCTGGAGGGCAGGGAGAGGGTCCAGAGTGACCTGGACAGATTAGAAGATTGGGCCAAAAGAAATCTGATGAGGTTCAACAAGGACAAGTGTAGAGTCCTACACCTGGGACAGAAGAATCCCAAGCATTGTTACAGGCTGGGGACCGACTGGCTAAGTAGAAGTCCTTCAGAAAAGGACCTGGGGATTACAGTGGATGAGAAGCTGGATATGAGTCAACAGTATGCCCTTGTAGCCAAGAAGGCCAATGGCATATTAGGGTGCATTAGGAAGAGCACTGACAGCTCCAGAGAAGAGATTATTCCCCTTTATTTGTCTCTCCCCACTTATGCAAATGAAGCCCGGGAAATTCAAATCCCGGGCTTCATTTGCAAGTGCGGTATACCTACATTACCCTCCTAGTTCGAACTAGGAGGGTAGTGTAGACATACCCTAAGCTAGGGGGAGAGGTAGATACGCTGGAGGGCAGGGATAGGGTCCAGAGTGACCTGGACAAATTAGAGGATTGGGCCAAAAGAAATCTGATGAGGTTCAGCAAGGACACGTGTAGAGTCCTGCACTTGAGATGGAATAATCCCAAGCATTGTTACAGGCTGGGGACTGAATGTCTAAGCAGTTCTGCAGAAAAGGACCTGTGGATTACAGTGGATGAAAAGCTGGATATGAGTCAACAGTGTGCCCTTGTAGCCAAGAAGGCTAATGGCATATTAAGGGTGCATTAGGATACACATTGCCAGCAGACCCAGAGAAGTTATTATTCTCCTTTATTCGGCTATAGTGAGGCCATATCTGGAGTATTGTATCCAGTTCTGAGCGCCATGCTATAGAAAGGATATGGACGCATTGGAGAGGGTCCAGTGGAGGGTGACCAAAATAATTAGGGGGCTGGAACGCTTGACCTATGAGGAGAGACTGAAGGATTTGGGTGTTTTTAGTCTGCAGAAGAGAAGAGTGAGGGAGGATTTGATAGCATCCTTCAACTTCCTGAAGGGAGGTTCCAAAGAGGGTAGAGAAAGGCTGTTCACAGTAGTGACAGATGGCAGAACAAGGAACAGTGGTCTCAAAGTACAATGGGAGAGGTCTAGGTTGGATATTGGGAAAAACAATTTCACTAGGAGGGTGGTAAAGCACTGGAATTGGTTACCTAGGAAGGTGGTGGAATCTCCATTCCTAGAGGTTTTTAAGTCTCGGCTTGACAAAGCCCTGGCTGGGTTGATTTAGTTGGGATTGGTCCTGCCTTGGGCAGGGAGCTGGACTTGATGACCTCCTGAGGTCTTTTCTGGCTCTATGATTCTATGAACTTCTGTTGGTGAAACAGACTAGCTTTCAAGTCACACAGCATTCTTCTTCTTTGAATGTGTTTCTTTATGTTAAACAGTCTGTTTCACCCTTTATTTAGTTGTGTACCTTTCCCAGGTCTGAAGTGGAGCTTTCTGTAGCTGGAAAGTTTGTCTTTCAACAACATAAATTGTTCTAATAAGATATCACCTCTTCCACCTTGCCTCGATCTAATTAACAATATGGCACTGAAAGAGCAAAGAAAAACTTGATTAGATATAGAGGGGAATTAGGGTAAAATGTAGTGAAAGTAAAGCAGACTTAAATGTTCTGTTTTGTACATAGTCATTCTGCCCATTAACAGGAGTTAAAATGTTTTGGCCCACAAGCACCCAAAGGGCCAAGGAGTGCCTGACCCTCTGCTTTGTCCCAGGCCCACCCTCACTCTGCCTCTTCCCCCAAAACCTCTTCCCGCCCCCACTTCACTCCTGCCATGCCTCTTCCTGCCCAATTTGGCCTCCAGAGCTCACTGCATCCTCCTCCCACTCTACCCCCAACCTCCTGAATGCCGTGAAACAGCTGCCAGAGATGTTTGAGGGGGTGCAGTTCCATGGAGCCTACTGATCGATAGAAGGCTCTGGAGCACTGATGTGGGCCTGCAGGACGGTGGTCAGCACTCACCATTTTTTCCCATGTGTGCTCCAGCCCCAGAGTACTCAAGAGAGTCTGCTGCACCTATTTTAGGGTAAAATCGAGGGAAAGTAAAGTAGACATCTGATTTCTGTTATGTACAAAGTCACTGTGTACAACATTGTCAGTCGGCCAGTTAACAGAAGTTAAAATGTTTCTGGACTATACATAAGAAAATTATATTCTTCTCCAGCACTGAGACAGGAATATGGTGATGCTCTCTCTCTAGTACCTGCCTCTTTGAAAGTTAATGATTTTTTCCATTGATTTTTGACTGGTTGTCAGGGATAACCTCACAAAGAAAAATAAGTAGCTGCCTGATTTCTTGCTGAATGTACAGCAAATATGTAGTAGTACAACTGGCCAGATTTTGAGGAGCAGATATTATGTGATGATGGCACAGGTGGGACCAATGCATCTTTAAAAGAGATATATTAAACTTGAAATCTAAGCCATGTTTATACTTCGAGTTGAAAGTAGCCTGGGTATGCAGCTCCCCTGGAAGAATTCATTTGTGTGGTTTAACAAACTACTTTCTCCTGTTTTTTAAATGTTTTCCTTTCCCTTGCCACTCTGTGAAAAATATCCACACAAATAGGGAAACTGATCATAATGAGCCAGTGAAATGGAGGCCATGTCTATATGTACAGCTGTGCTACTGCAGCACATCTGGTAAAGACACTATATGCTGATGTGAGAGAGTTCTCCCATCAACTTTATAAAATGACTTCAGTGAGTGTGCGAGCTATGTCTCTCATCAGTAGCACTGTGCGTACAAGCACTTATATCAGTGTAACTTATGTCTCATAGAAAGGTGGTTTATTTACACGCCTGGGTGACCCAAGGTATGCCAACATAGGCTGTAGTGTAGACACAGCCTGACTTTGCACAAAGTGCTGATGTATGCAGAAATCAAAAATGGAAAAATGTTCTCGCTCTAGTCTCTCAGGTACAGTCATTTTAAGTGCTACTTGTAAAAACAGTAGGTAAACATTTTCAGAAATAAGTGTGATTTTTCTTTTACATTGACAAAGTCCTTGTTAAAAAATGCCATGATGAAATGCAGGCAGTGTGTCTGCAAAGGAAAAACGGAATTAGAGGGACTCAGTGTTTTTCACATACACTTTTTGCTTTAATTTAAAAAATACTATCAGTTTGAATGGGTAGGTATGTTCTTTAAACCTTTGTATTTTACCAGTGTGTTCTTTAACAGGGTGATAAAGACTTCCCTCCAGCTGCAGCTCAGGTGGCTCACCAGAAACCTCATCCCTCTGTGGAAAAGCTTCCTCATCCACAGCACGTCAATCAGCACATCCACCAGCCTCGCAAGTGAGCCCTGTCAAAAAGCCAGCCAACCTGCATCAGTGTAGAAAGAAGAGATCAGAGTTTTTAGGATTCACACTACCAAATCAATAAAACTGGCTTTTAAAAATGATATATGTTGCTTTTGCTTTAATTCTCCATGGTTTCATAAAAGTGGAGATTTCATTAGGTTCTGTTATTCCAGATGGAAAACCTTCTGCATTGCTGCTGTGTGTTTGCTGATCAAGAGCATCATTCAATTTAACCAGTTCAGTTTTGCTTAGCAGTGTAATAAATCTGTTACTGCCGAGGCCAGATTTAAATATAAATCATTCATCTGATGAGTGGATTACATTCCTGATTGCTATAGCCAAAAAACAGAGATAACATTAATGTTAAACCTATTAGGGACCATATAAGATGTTGTGTTTGGTTTATTTGGTGTGGGGAGAATAATTTTTACATTTGCTCAAGAGGTTTGTAATATATGACTGTCTGATTTTTATAGAATCATTGCAATCTGCACTACATTTGTGATAAAAAAAATTAAGGAAAAATGTCACTATATTTCTTAGGCTTTCAGTTCTCTCCTTTCAGTTTAGCCATGGTAGTGAAAAAAAAAACTTTTTTTGTAGTGGAAAAAAGTGGAATCTAGTTGAACCTTCAAGACACCATGTTCCAAACTTACACCACCTCACTAGTGCTCTTCATGTACACTTTGTGCATTTGGAGCACCATGGCTTTAGGTGGGAGAAAGATGTCAAACCAGGGGGAAGCCTGTTCTATGCAGCAGCATGCCTCAACCCATCTGTGTGTTCATGATTGGTATTTGTGGGGCTTCATAACTGTGAAGCCTTTCTAAATAAAATGAGCAATAAGATATAATGTATGTTGTAAATCAGTGAGGTGCAAACAATCCAGTGCTGTGAGGAACTGAGCTCCCTTGCATCCCTCTGAGAGAGTTCAGCAAACTCAGCACTTCATAGAATTGAGTAAACCCATTTAACTTAAATACAGTATATGGTTATTGTTCTAAAATGTTGACTCTCTGTAACTGTAAATGTGTATGACATCATTGTGCATGGTCTGTTATATGCCATGTCTGCTGTTTTTTCTAGTCTTTTTTATCACAGGCAAGCAGATGGTGATTACAGATAAGATATACCATTTTAACTAAAGTAATCTGATTAGTCAAGGTTAGATCTGGCTGTGTGTATAACTCTTTTTATGCTTGCATAGTTTAAAATCACTACCACAAAATTAGTAGCCTCATCAGTTACCTCCCATGTAATCTCCACACATCCATGACATTTTTTAAAAAAATACTTAGCCTACATTTTTTTAAATGTACTTGAATTTTTAAAGGAATATAAATACACAGCAGGCTGAAGTACCCTGCAGGATTATAGAACTCCACTTCAAGGAACGTGGCCACCTGAACCAACATTGAAGTCACTACTCTGGCTAACCTTGGGAGTTCTGGACTGCTCAGGGCTTTGATAGTACATTTAGATTTAAAATCAAATAGCATATAAAAGTAGTGGGAAGAGAGCTTTAAAAATGATATTTTAAACCATTATCCTCAAGCTAAATAAAGTCATTTTTCTATGAGTGGCTGGTTATTGCAAACAAATTTTTTAAATTTTACCATTTTCTCAGTGGAATAATAATTCTGGTCATTGTGAGTAAGATTTACCCTTGATGGGGATCCTCAGAGTCTGCACATAGAAATGAAGTTTGTCCTGTTTGCATTCATGTAAATCTTCTGAAGGCCAACAAAAAGTGTTGTCTGGCTATGTGACCATTTTGTACATGAAAAAAGATTGTAAATTTCTTGGGCTTCTGGGAAAATATTCAAATTTAATAAAAATTTACGCAGGGATGTTTTCTTGTCAGTTGTCTTCACCATACTGTTTTCATCTTAAGATATTTGTGAACTGTACTTGCTTTAAAGATGAAGCATCCTCTCTGTGATGGGTTAGGACCCTCTGGGATACCACCTAATGTGCTGAAGATACCACTGAATCTTCTTTTTCTGCCAGCCTGGGCACTCTTTGTGCCTGTCTTGCTGAGTCAGGCTTTTAAACTTCCTCCAGTGCCACAGACAGGGCCACACCCAGCTACAGAACAGATACAGATACTGAGATCAGCTCTGGGGAGGCTAAGCTTAAGTAATTTACCATAGGACTCAAGTGTCTACCCTCCTCCCCCTCCTGCCCTTGGAATACAAACCAAAATGTATATTAAATTAGTCTCCTTCAATGTGGAGGAAAGTATGCATAATTTCCTCTCTCCCTTTCCCCAGTTAGAAATTACATATACTGGGTTATATTTATAAATCAGAAATAAGTTTAAGTGGTAAAAGATGTACAGAGGAAATCAGATTATTAAGAAAATAAAGCAAAGTCCATAAACTGAGCTTGATTCACTTAAGAAATTGGTTGCAAATAATAATTCCTCATCCTAGATAGTGTTAGGTTGAGTCCTTCACAGGCCAGAAGTATCATCATAGCCTGGATCCAGTAGTTCTTCCCTTGCTCAGTTCCAGGTGTTTTCCAGTGTGTCTCTTGGGCGGAGGTGCAGGGGGGAGGCAGAGGAGATGCAAACTGAAGGCCTTTCTCCCCCACCTTATATAGAATTTCCATAGGTTTGATTCACTACCTCACAGGGAAACAATTCAATAGTCCAGGATGGAGGTTGGTGTCAGATCACTAGGTCACTTGACTCTGTAGCATCTCAGCATCCATGAGTCAGTGGCACTATGGAGTATCTGCAGGAAAGCCAAGCTTTTCCCAGTCCATTGTCCTCACTGATGGGCCATCAGCCCTGTCTGGCTTTTCCATTGTTGTACCTGAAGTGTTAGTAGTGGGTGTCACCCAAAGCAGCTCAGTTGAACTACAGATACATTAGTCAATATCTCTAATTTCAGATACAAAAATGATACATGTATACAAATAGGATAATCATATTCAGTAGATCATAACCTTTCCAGCAGTACCTGACATGAGTTTTCTTGCATAAAGTACATTTCAGTTATGTCATATAAGCATATTTTCATAAAGAACATAGAATGTAATGTCACACTCAAATTAACATTTGCATATTCAGCATTTTTTTAAAAACATACCTTTTGTTGTAGTGGCACACTGTGGTTCTGTTAAAGCCAATAGAATTACTTATCTGCATAAGTGGACTTGCATTTTGTGGCAGTGACTATCTACTTTTTGTGTACAATGCATTGCACAATGGGACCTCATTTTTTATTTGCCTTTAGGCACTAGTAAAACATGTTTAATATTACTATTTGCATGTTGGCAAGACTCAGCCCTAAAACATTGCTGATATGCTAACAGACCAGTCAACAGTTGACATTGTCCTGTGCCAGTACATCTTCCTCAATTATTTGGTGGTATATGGGTATTGGCTTTGGAATTTACTGTGTCTAGGAAAATGAGATGGCATTACATGCTTCATTGACACGTTACTTACTGCACTGTTCATCAAACCTAATGTTAAAAGCTAGGAACATGGCTGTAGTTCTGAACTCCTACTGATGGCTGTCAATGCAATAAATACAATGTATATAGACAACATTTGCAGAATCCATTAGATATTCTAGACAGATGTAGTTATGTGCTGCAAAAAGTTACTCATAGTTTTAGCGGTTTTCAAGACAGTGAAAAATAATGTAAGCTTAGAGAGATTCACTCTGTATAGAAGCAGTATAGAAAACATTGGATGTCCATGTTGGCACACATAGCACCACCTTGTCCAAAATTTAAAAAATCCTAGCCGAGGAATGGATTCTGTGCTCCTACTGCAGGATATATTTTAATTAAAGAAACACATTTTAACAGCCTTTTAAGTGCAATATAAAGTATCCAGATGCTCAGCTGTTAACACAAAATGAATGTTAGAAATTTCCTGGAATAGAATTGCCAGCATGCTAGTGTAACAATAAAAATCACTCCTGTGTTATATATTTGGTGCACCTCTCCATGGGTACAACACATTTGAACTGTTATTTAATTCTTATTCAAAATGTTAAGCAATGAATTAACATTTAAACTAGAGACGTTTATTGAGGTTCTTTGGCACAAGAGATGGAAAGTTTTAAATAGTTTCTCATCCTGTGACTAGATTCTCATTCCTGGATCATTTAAAACAAAACTAAATGCTGTCTAATAGAGTGTAGGTGCTAATGGTAGTTATGAAACTGATTATCTGGAGCTCCTCAATAGTCCTTTATGGGGGGGGTGCAAATCTGGAAACTAGATACAGCAATTTGTCTGAAATTGATATGACAAAGGAAATGGTACTTAACATGTTAATATAGCACTTGATTCAGTTTTATTCTCCTTCAATGCAAAAGGCTTTATAATTAGTAGAGTAGAAAACTTCTAAAGTCCTTTAACGGGATGTATACATTCATAGTCTTTATACTATAGCAAGATAGTTTAAAGAAACTAAGATCGCAATAGCCTCCCATGAGGAGTTTACAGTCTAAAGTTCTGATCCTGTAAACATGTACACACATGTTTAACTTTATAGACATGATTTGTTCCATGAGGTTCATTGGAACAGATCACATGCATAACAGACAGCTTGCCCATTCTAGAATTCACAAGCCTGAAGTGGTGAGATATTAATCCCAATAAGATGGAGTAAAATATTCATGGTTTCTGAATGGTCATGCTGGGTCAGGCCAAAGGACCATCTAGCCCAGTATCCTGTCTGCTGACAGTGACCAATACCAGATGTCCCAGAGGGAGTGAACAGAACAGGGAATCATCGAGCGATCCTGTTACCCAGGAACTCAGTAACAAGAATAAATTTAAAACTAAGATCTGTGGAGTTTTGTTCCTGACACCAGGGCTGTAGCTACACTGCACCCCTTTTCCAGAAAAGGGATGCAGATTAGACCAATCGGAATTGCAAATCCGCGGGGGATTTAAATATCCCCCGTGGCACTTGCATTTACATGGCTGCCGCTTTTTTCCGGCTTGGGGATAAGACGGAGAAAAGCGCCAGTCTAGACGCAATTCTCCGGAAAATAAGCCCTTTTCCGGAGGATTTCTTATTCCTACTTTCAAGTACCTACTTTTAAGTAGGAATAAGAAATCCTCCGGAAAAGGGCTTATTTTCTGGAGAATCGCGTCTAGACTGGCACTTTTCTCCGGCTTATCCCCAAGCCGGAAAAAAGCGGCAGCCATGTAAATGCAAATGCCGCGGGGAATATTTAAATCCCCTGCGGATTTGCAATTCCGATTGGTCTAATCTGCATCCCTTTTCTGGAAAAGGGATGCAGTGTAGACACAGCCCAGAAGAATAAGTTCCCCGACACTGTATTTATCACCAGTGGATAATTGCCCAATGAAAACACAACTCATGTATAAATTTAACAAATCTATTAAAAGAATTTGTAACAGTTCACAGCATATAACTATTCAATACAACCCTCTTACACCAATTAGAAATCCAACCCCACACTCTCAAAATAGAAGAAAAGAAAGTTCCCCTAACAAACAGATAAGTTAAAAATACTTTACAGTCTATAATGATGATTGTATTATATTTGGGAAAGGAAAAATGTGTGCTGTCTATGTGATGGGAGCCATGTAACACACAGGAGTCTTATCCAATGTTTTTGTTTTTCACTGTTTAAATTGTATAGATACTGATCAACTTACAAGTACATTCCTCCAGTACTCTGTTACCTGAAACAAGACTTTGTCCACCAACCTCTTCTCCTATTATGCCCCCAAAAAAAAAAGACCATTTTGTTTTTCTTACAGCCACAAGAAAAGCCCCTGCAGAACCAGGTAAATGGAGGGAGACCCGGCGGGAAGGTCCAGGGGGCTGGGCCCGGTTGCTGAGTGTGTCCTAGGGTTGCCAGGTGTCCAGTATTTTCCCCTCCTAGCAGGGAAAAATATCAGAAAATACTGGACATTTTAGGCGTCAGGTATTTTCTGAAATTTTTTTACCGGACAGGAGACAAAAATACCAGACTATCCAGGTCAATACCAGACACCTGGCAACCCTAGCAGCCAAGGGGAGGAACTCTAGGTAACCTGATCCCAAAGCAGATGTTCCTTGCTGTTAAGGGTGGGTGAGGATTGATGGCACTGTCCAAAGAGAACTGGGTCTTCACCACAAGTCTGGAGTCAGAGTGGCTCTTCAGGTGGTGGGGGAAGTCAACGAACCCCAATGTAGCATATCCCCAATACCACACCTATGCCTTCACCATAAGTGGTATGGAGAAAACACTCTTGGTGGTTCAGAGGCTCCGCAGCGCCACTGTAGTACAGCTGTCTCTGGTCCAGTATCCTCAAAACTTGAACCCCTGGGCTTCGCCACAGCATGTGAGGGAACCAGCTGCAGCACTGATGTCAGTCTTGACAAGTTACTGGACAGTCAAGGACTGAGACCTGCACTCTTGAGTGGGAGGTACTTTTATGTCTTTTGTGGTAGGAAAACAGATGATTGACAGCAGCATATGCTGTGCACATTCTGAGGTAAAATGGACTCTGGCGCATAAAAACAGTTCGAGCCAGTTCTTGTTTACCTCCACAGTAGTCCCAAAAACAAAATGGAATTTATAATTCCAAGATGGAGTCTCTTGTGATTTTAAAATGGAGTCCAACTTGCACATGTGATCAGTTCTTAATAAATCAATCAACTGCTGCCAACAATCCCTCTCCTGTCACCCATTCCCAGTCTCGGACAAAGAGAGGCTGGGGACACAATTCCTACCCATCCTGCCTAATAGCCATTGATGGGCCTATCCTCCATGAATGTATCTAGTTCTTTTTGAACCCTGTTGTTATTTGGGGTGGTCTCTTAACACAGGACACTTCCCCTGTCATTCACAGGCGGTATCTT